CTTCGACATTTTGAATGGCTTGCGTGAGGTTTAGGAGAAGATCCCTGATTTCATCAGGAATATCACCCAAGACAAGATCACTTTGCATATGGCGCTTTAAAAAAAAAACTTTTCAGTGCTCTATATAAATCTTAATATATAATTTTTGAAAAATAAAGATTTTTAAAAAATTAATTTTTTACAATTTTATTTTTTTTCATGCGCTAACTTTGGTACTATCTTTCCTTTTGTCTTAACCTTTTTTGCCCCTGCTCTAAAAACATTAACTTTCGCCCTATTACTAGGCTATGCATGAAAATTGTATAGTAGTACATGCAGGGGCTGGTTACCATTCTAAGCACAAAGAAACTGAGTACATTCAATTATGTTCAGATGCATGCCTTAGAGCAGCAGCCATCCTAACTCAAGACAATTCAAAATTTCGATCAATAAATGCAGCATGTGAAGCAGTCGCTTTTCTTGAGGATAATCATCTCAGCAACGCTGGCTATGGAAGCAACTTGACCCTTGATGGGAGTGTGGAATGTGATGCTGGAGTCATGTGTGGTTCCTGCCTCCGTTTTGCTGCTGTTGGATCCCTTTCTTGCATTAAAAACCCTATTCTCGTGGCTGGGCACCTACTCTCCCAACAAATAATGGACCCTTTTTCACGCCTGGGGAGGGTATTTCCTTCTCTCTTGGTGGGGAAGGGAGCCTTGGATTACGCTGTAAATGCAGCTGGCTTTTCTCGTATACAAGAAGTAGAAATGATAAGCCCATCTTCTCTAGCCTCTTGGAAAAAGTATAAAAACTGGATAGATCATGTCGATAAAGATACTTGTCACTCGATGTCTCTTCACCACGTCTCATCAAAAAAGGCCCGTTTTATGACTCCTTTGGACACAGTTGGCGCCGTATGTGTTGATTCATTCGGCAGAGTTGCCTCGGCTATTTCCAGTGGTGGAGTAGCAATGAAATCACCTGGAAGGCTAGGTCAGGCATGCATCTATAGCGCTGGAAGTTGGGCAGAATGCTCCCCAGAGGAGGACGGCAAGGTCACCGAGTCCGTGGGAGTCATTACCAGTGGAACAGGTGAACAGCTCATAAGAACCCAGTTAGCGCAAAAATGCGCACAACGGGTTATCAATGATACGCTTCCTGTTCCTTTGGCCGTTGAGGCTTCTCTCTCCACGGATTTTCTTAATTCTCGTTTTCTCAATGGTGAGCCTGACCAACGATTCGCTGGGGTTGCTGGCTGTCTTTGGAGAAGTCTACCGTTCGTAAGAAAGAGACGTTCGTCCGAAGCTTGTGTCGAGATATTTTTTGGTCATACCACTCAATCTATGGCCGTTGCTTACTTTGTGGATAATACAATGAAAATTCCTAAGTCTTTCATATCACGCAAACCATTGGGACGAAGGCATCTCGTTGGGGCTTTCTCCCACCGTTTGCTCTCATGTTAAAAATCCCTTCACTATGTACATAGCTCTGATAAATAAAATGAATATGAATTCCTTTTTTACCTTAAGATTGCATGTTGCAGGTCGTGAGCGTTCTTTTATTAAATTTAGTTAGGATATGAAGAGATTCAATCGGGATTCGTTTGCAGCTAGTGATGTGGATGACTCACAATCCTCTTCAAGTGGTCTGTCTACTAGAAAAAGAAGACGGCTACATAACGCTTCGCAGGTACTTGGTCATTCACTTAGCCAATCGACCTCCCGAATAATTTTTTATTCTTATAAGCATTTATTCCTTTCAGTTGGACCTTTGCCAAGAACTTTACGATAGATTGCGAGTGATTCGGAACGATGAAAGTATACCAATAACCGATGCTTTTATAAGACTCCCAAATAAACGGTGAGGAATTATCTTATTTAGCATGGTATCGAC